TAATACTCTGTGTCAAACCACAGCTTTTGCGCACACTCGTCGCCAAGCCCAAAGGTGTTTGGATGCTGTCGTTCTGTTCTGTCTCGAGAGCACAACGCAGAGAAAGGGCATGGTAGTGTAGGCGGGACGGCGACTGCACTGTCTCGCATGCAGCACTACTGCTGCTTCGACACGCACAGATGACCCTGCACTGCGTACTGGCACTAGACATCCTGCACAGCCTGCGGGCTGGCGTTCTCTTGGACATTGATCGGTGTGTGGGGTTGGTTCAACGTGCTTTAAGGTCCAGGGCAAGTGCTAAACGAGGTTTACTGTAGAGAGTTACACATAGATGTCGTCGCTACGACACTAGGTCTTAAGCTGGAAGCCGCTCGACGAGGGCGCTGTAGAGCTCCTTGAACTGCGCAAAGGACCAGCTGCCAAGGTTCTTGTAGCGTGTGTCGGCCTTGTCAAGCGTGCATACTGGTAGCTTGTCGCTGTTGTACATCACGGCCAGCTTGGCGTATAGCGTCTCGCACGCAGGGCTGCCCAACAAGGCCTTGAGCGTCGGCGCGTTGAGCTTGGCGATCCCTCGCAGCGGCGCGTCGGCCATGCAAGCGGCGACCGACGGGTCGTTCGTGAGCGCGACAAGGCTGTTGTGGAGCTCGTGCCAATCAACGTCTTCGCAGCGAGGGACCTTCTTGTCTGTGGCAACAACAGCAAGGACGAGCAGAAGCAGCGTACCGACGAGGCAGCGGATGATGCTACTCGACCTGGTCATGGTGCTGATGTGTTGAGTGTCAAAGTCCTTGTTTGAACCGGCTCGTATCCGAAATAGGACTAGTATCAGATGCAAATCGGCAAGACAAGGCAAAGCCCAGTTTGGCAGCAGCAGCAGCATCTTGAGCTTCCGACAAATTGGGCTGGAACTCGGGCTGGGGTGCGACCAAAGCTAAAGCAGCTAGTTCATTCCCTCAGCTCTACGCACAGCAATTCGTTGCAGCATGCCTAGGCTCCCATAATCAACAACTGCAAGGGAATATTCCCTTGACAACTGGTCCAATTCAATTTGCACAAGCAGCTCTCATTCCACAACGAGACGACATTAACCAAGACGCGTGTTACGGGGGCGACAGCAAGCGCGGGATGACGTCATGGAACATGTAGTCGCGCAGCGTATCGAAATTCCACTTGGCGAGGTCCCGACGTGTTGTGCCACTCGCATCGAGCCGGCACGTTGGCATATTTGGATTGTCGTAGATCGTAGCCGAGAGGTTGTTGAAAAGCACGCGGCAGGAAGGGCTGTTGAAGAAGGCGGTCCACTGCTCGCCGCTGAGCGGCGCTGCCGATGCGAGAAACGCATAGTCCGTCACGCCGGCGTCGACCATGCAGGGTCCCAGCGATGACATGCGCTCGATGCCCTCGAAGAATGCGTCGAGGTTGAGGTCGTCGCACTTGGGAAGCGGCTCGGCGGCTGCGGTGGCCACAACCGCAAACAGCAGCAACACCCGCGCCATCTCGTTGCTTGCAATTGATGCTGCTCTTTCGTTCTGTCCCTGTCGCTGGAACGGCAATTTGGCACGAGCCAACACATTTAAAAACACGTGATATATCACATACAAACGACTTGTCAATATTGAAAATAATAATCTGCGTTGTGGGTCGGACAGAGGGTCCGCCATTCCCTTATCTAGTACTAGCTCAGACGCTCACCCACACAATACGCCAGCGCTCAGCCGTGTCCAGGTCCATGTTAACAGTACAGCAGGTACCTCGGGCTCGAGCCAACTACGCAATCAACGTGCGACCGATGCTTTCAACACGCTTGGAGCGACAGCGAAAGATAAATTTTATTATTGGTCCTATGCAACGTCACTGGATTGAGAGCAAACGTGGACATTTGATTCGTATGTACACAACAATTAGGCTAGTTAGCGTCACTAGAGTCGGACAAGTAGGTAGTCTTTACAAGGCGATCGTGGCGTTGAGCATTGCACGCTTGAGCTGGTCAAAGGTCAGCGCGCCCAGCGCCTTGATGTCCAAACCATCCGCATTGAAGGCGCAGGACGCTGGAAAAACCTCGCGGTACACGCGCGTGACCTCGTTGAAGACCTTTTCGCAGTCGGCGCTCGCAAAGAAGGCGGCGACCTGGGCGCGCGTCGGTGCCAAGAGCGTCATCTGAAGGAAGATGCGGTCCGTCATGTTGGCCGCCCGCATACACGGCAGCAGCGACGGGTGGGACTGGATCGACGCAAAGTAGTTGCCGTAGAACTGGTCGCTCTGGCAGCGCGGCAAGTCGGCGGCGAGAGCGACAGCGACGACAAGCCCCAGGACAAGCCTCAGCGCACCCATCTTCCTGGCTTGTTTTTGGCACAAATGATGGCGTCGAGCCAGTTTGCATTTTGGCCAATCACCGCCCGCACCTCCTACCATCTATATCCAGCCACCGTTTTAGCGTACAAGTCCTTTGAAATGGATCGTCCTGCACGTACATACGTCGTCAAATTAGCAACGATCTATTATGTACACAACGAGCTTCATGGCGCTCCGACCGCGATTTGATTGGATTGCACAACCCGGTTGATGAATGCGGAATCCAAAATTACGTTTCATTGGCTAAAACGACACTATTTTTGACCAATTGGAATACTTTCCATTTTGCAGTGGCGGCCTCCGAGACGCTCGGATCGCCAAATCACGTTTGGAAATGAAATCGCCCGTACTTGGCCCATCAATTGAGAGTACCTTCTAGGTAAGGATGGGTGTCTTCACGCCGTCATCAGCCGCCTACAACGGGTCTTATGCTCGGTCAAAGATTGGCGTCGTTGATTGGTCAAATATTGTAGCGTTTCCACCAATGGCATGCGAGGAAAGAGAGCCAACGCAGTTCCACATTAGTGCTGTAGCGATGCGTAAAAGATTCCACGTCATGATGCCGGGTCACGTCCCTGCAGACTCGCGAGGCTCCTCCTCAGCGATGGCGACATCGATATTGAAAGGTCCAATCCTCCCCACGAGGTCGTCGCAGCGTCCACAGTATATCCCAGGAACGCACATGGTATCCTGCAACGAGAAAACGCTCGTCATGAGTGCATTTGGACAGGCAGGTACCTACCCGCCCCGACAAAGTGGCTCCAACGACTACTACTGGCATAATTACATTTGATTCACAAACACACAGACTAGAGATTGAACGACGTCATCCATCCATGGCCAGCTTGGCTTGTCAGCAGTGCATCGTGAAGCTCGTCAAAGGTCTTGTCGCCGAGTGTCTTGATGGATGTACCGGCGCGGTCAATGGCGCAAAGCGGCATGTCCTCGGTGAGCACGCGAAGAAGCGCAGCGTACAGAGCTCGACACGAGCTGCTGTGGAAGAAGTGTCGAAGCTGCGCCTCGGACGGCGGCTCGTTGGACGCGAGAAAGTCCACATCGGCCATGTCGGCATCGCGCATGCAATCCGAAAAGGTAGGCTGGTCGTAGAGTGGCGTGAAGAAACTGTTGATCTCTTCCATCATCGCGCAGAGCGGGAGGCCGTTCGCGGCTGTCGGTACCGGCGGCGGCGTTGCCTTGTCGTCGCCAATGACGAGGCTGCAAAGCGCCAGGAGGATCACCACGACGGCGTCCATTTCGCAAATGAAAGACCGGATCGCGCTGGAGACGCGAATTCGCCAATGCAAGGTGCCTTGCCCCGTTACATGCGCGCCGTACGCCGTAGTTATCCTGCGTTTATGAGGCGTCATGTACTGTCCAAGCGAATCGCAGCGCACACGTGGCAGCGCCCGCGTTTCTCAGAACGGCGCCGTCTCATGGCCACCTTGCCCTTTCTACACAGTACCTGGTGCAGGCTTGGAAGGATGGTGCTGAACAACGGAGCACGTACAGTAGGTAGTGACCCCAGCAGCTCTCTATACGCTAGCAGCTCACTATATACTAGCAGACCACCTCGTCTTCGACTCTTGTACCGGATCGTACACTCAAGGATGTCCGGTCCAGCAAGGGTTGCTGCACGGTGCCCTTTGTAATTTCGGCATATGCCTAAAAGAGTGAAACCAGTCATGCCAGATGGTGCACTGGCAATCCGTAGCAATCGGCAATTGGCAAGTCTAACATGGCGCGGACTGCGTGCGTCGCAGCCAGCGTACTCGTGCTCCTCGCGTGGGCCGCCGCCGTGTCCATTTGCTCAATGGGCATGTTCATCGACGTTGCCAGCGTCATGACCAGCTCGCGCAGCTTGGCGCCGTGCCTCCGCGCCTGTGGCGTCAGCTTTGCAGAATACAACGCGGGCCAGTTTCCAAGCGACGCGCAGTGGCAGCGTACGCCCATCTTGCTGCACGTCCACGGTGTACTAGTGCAGTATTATAATAGGTTTTTCCGTCACGCCCGACTGCCAGGCCTTTTACGCCGAGCTCAAGTCGAGCTTCGCAGCACTCGACGAGTGCGTTGTCCCGACGGCCAATGGTCCGCTGAACCTCCACCGCTTGGAGAACGTTCCGATCGAGACGCTTCTGCGCTTAACATACCCAATTGCGCACCCCAATTACACGCAGACGAACGCCACCGCGCCGCCATTGCACGCGGCCTCCTGGGCCACACGCCACTTACTAGACGTCGGGCTCGTGGTGGCCATTGTGATGCTCGTACTACTACTAGGCTAGCACTGTGACTACGATTTCGCGCCTGCTTTGGATGGCGCGTCATGTATGCTGTCAGCGACTTTGAGAGCATATATATATATCAAAATGTGTTTAGCGTTATCTTCCTTACAAAGAGTTCGCATACGTAGTGCTACGCCTGAATGCGTGGGAGTTGGCACCAGCATTCGGTCGAGGAAGTGAGCTGCGCACGGAGAGATCCATCCCGTGGTGGAACTAAGAGCATATATAAGCTTGAATATGTGAAGGCAAGGCCCGCTGAGAGTCAAAGCTAAATCGCAGTTTTCGTCTCTTTCCTAAAAAGTACCTCGCCAGGCGACATGGCGATGTGCACCGTGACTTAACGAAGGGTTTGAAAGAGTTGATGTTCACACAAACGATTAAATTAAAGACTTAATGGAGAGAGCAGCGACTGAAAGCCTTTGCTGCCCAACGCAGCGGACGGCGAAGATTCTGCAATCGAATCTTGCGGGCGCGGGGTCGATGCGACACGCGACAAGAGCGTCTCCACGTCAGCATCGTCATTGGACGCGGTCATTTCGTCCGAGTCATCACTTGCCATCTCGATTGCGTCATCGATGATGTCGACCGGCTCGCCCCAGTCGTCGGTCACTTGGTCGTCGTCCTGCAACACTGCGACGAGGGCAAGCGCCTTGGCACTTGCGTCGGCGTCGAGCACACCAATGGCTTCCGACCACCCATCGTCCGTTGCGGTGACGGCATCGACTTGTGCGTCGGCGGCAGTAAGTGCAATCAGAGCGTGTAAAGAGGTGGCCACGGCGTCTTGCTCGTCAACGGTGTCAACGACAGCGTCCTCCAAACCATTGAGGCCTTTGTCCGCCTCGACGACCAGCGACACATGCTCGACATCTGCCGTCCCTTCGGCATCGTCCGACCACGTCACAGCAGCATCGTTGACGTCTCCATCACGGGCACTGGCACCGGCGTCGCTTTTGTCCGTACGGACTTCACCATCCGCGGTCTGGAGCACAAGGTCGGTATCCATGTGGTCTGGCGTCACGGTGATCTCCACGCCCACGTCATCATCGTCCGCGTCATCCTCGTCTGCAACCGACGACTCGACAGGCGCGACGACACTCTCGACGCGGTCCTTCTCACCGAGTGCCGTCTCACGACGCGGCAGGTCGACAATGGCTTCAACAGCGTGGACGACTTGGATGCTGGTACTGGCCGTCGTGCTGGCTTCGACATCGGTGCCACCGGCAACGGGATCAACGTCGCCGTCAAACGTTGACGTACGTCGTGACCACGGCAGTGTCGTCCAGA